AAATAGAAATCACTGCCTTATTCATAGGGTCTTTTTATCTTTACACAAATGTGTCGATAGGTTGGTTTAAATGGGTGATTAAAAATGGCGGGCTCACGCCTCCTATAATGGTGCAAGGTGTTGTGAATAACGAATATTATTTTAGTGTCATACGTATGATATAATCGAATCGTCAAGCATATACAGCCACATTTTATGATTGCTTCGTCTGTGCCAAATTAAACATTTCGCCCTCTTATCAATATATTTTTATTACAGCTGTGTGTATTTGTTTAAATTATAGTATCGGTACAAGGAGAAATAACTTCAGTGCCGTTAAACCAAAGCATCGACATAAAATTCTACCTCGGCCTAACTTGTGTAAAATGCAATTTTATCAAGCAGAAACAAACTCAGTGAAGTTATTGCTGTATAGTTAATCGCTCGCACGAACTATACGCATGTATATGTCAGGTCACTGTTGTTGTATGACAAACAAAAGCCATAGGGTCCGAGTGGCATCAAAACATTGCGTAGGATTCAACAAACCCGAAACTATTTTGGAGATATTTCCACGTTTAATAATGTGCTATACATATTTGATGATAGTAAGTTTTGCTGAAGTAAAGGTATCTCAACGCCACACTCCTTTCTGAATTATAAGCATTTCCTCAATGGATTACAATAAAAAATTCAAGTTCAAAATTGAATAATTCAATTTGTGTGCAGCCGTTCGAACCTGACATCTCACGATGAACGAAAATCACTTTAAATCACCGGAAGGAATAAAACATATTCAAGAATATTAAAAACATATTTGGGAGATTGTCTGATACTGGGAATACAAGGAATATATATCATTTAGGTGATTTAACGTCCGTTATAACTCGCCTTCCCACTGTACAGATACATATACAAGCATATTGTAATCTCAGCTGCAAAACGTTCATGAATCAATCAAACTTTGGCTTTTCTAGATAATACTAACATAGCATTAGTATTCCGGCCTTCATGTAATAAATAATTCATTAAATTATGCTGTTATAAGAAGACTTACCAGAAGTACCAATCTCCATAATTTTCCTGGTCGGGCCATATTGTAGCACATACTCTTCGTACATAGATGGGCGTGTCAGTTATCGCAGGAGGAGGACATGCACCAAAATCGATATTAGTAAATATAAGCCAAGGGAGGGCGATTGCGGCTGACGCAATCCACACAACGGCGATGATCGTTTTGGCGAGGATCTTAGACATCCTCGGTCTCATGGGGTGAACTATCGCGATATATCTGTCTATACTTATAGCCATCAGAGTGAATATACTTGAAGCTACTGTTAATGGTGAGATAAATCGTACGATCTTGCAATAAGCATTCCCAAAATACCAATCGTTTCGGAGGACGTAGGTGAAAGTGAACGAGATATTAAAAATCGCGTTTAAGGCATCGGCGAGGGCTAAATTAATGATGAAATAGTTAGTCACTGTTCTCATACGGCGATGGGCGAGGACGATCCACATAACAATGCAGTTTCCCACCGCAGCGGTTATAATCATTGCGCCAAAAAGTAAAGTCCATATGAAGGTCTCTATGATCGGCTGCTTGAAATCTTGACATGTTTCGTTCCAATTGTACTCGTAATCGTATTCTACCGATGGTACGAGTGTGGAGTTGAGAGTGAAATTCGAACTTGCGATATACGCGGAAGACAATGACATACTTGCAGACTAGTGCGTGGAAACTCAAATTCGATGTACGTTGCAGATGAAGAAGACGTGACAGCCCAAATTAAATGCACATTTTATATATCTTTTCTTTGAAATATTGAGGTCTTAATGTCTTAAAATAATCCGATGATCTTCCGACTTACAAGGATCAGACACAGGTTAATGCGTGATAATCACATTCTCAATAATTAGATGCTTTCATCATTTGGCTGCAAAGTTCAGTAATCTCGCTAAATAGTCAATCAGTGGATGATCCCACTATAAAAAGCATCACCGTCCTATATATTCCGAGAAGTCCTATGATCAACACCCACGTGAGTAGAAAATGAACAATTAAAATAAATCGAAAGCTACTGCCTAACAGTTTCCTTGAAAACAAATTCAGCAGTGATATATACTTCTGTATTTTCCAGACACTACAATTTCATACATGGGAATTCATAGACTTCACGATATGACAGCTGTATCAGACAAATGTAATTGAATGTTCCAACTAACGGTTATTGACTGCAGGTTTCACTGAGGTTAATCCGTATCTATGAGAATGTAAAAACATAATATTGTGAGCGGAACAGTAATGACGTACATGGTCCTATACATGACACATACACACAATAACTGGACACGACTGGACTATATTGTTATACAATGCTCACTTCAATCCGTGGGTATAGTGACTAATTTCGATCGACAGAATAGGATTTGTTCTCAATGACATGATATTGAGTGTATTTGGTAAATGACGTCCGCTTTCGATAACTGCATAATGATAATTGTTTTTAATATGTCTAATTCCTATTTAGGCATTTTTGATTGCCGGCATTATAGTCATAGTTTATGGTGCAATATAGTATAACTAGTCCAAAATTTGCATATTATTGCAACGATGAATAATACTATTATTATTAAACGAAATTATATGTTATGCAGTGTAAATGGAAACAGGTGGAGCCAAGTATACAGGCATGGAAAAATATTGTTGAGTATTCCAAGGCCATACGGAAAGATTCTGTACATTGCATCAAAAGTATATGGGACCCCCTGTTTGATTCAATGGGGTTACTCTAAATTATTGTTTTGTTTTGTTTTTTTCATCTTAATTTTTACGGTGTTATGTTATTTGTATTGTTTTAATATTGTATAAAATTTATGAAAAAAAGTAAAACAAAAGTTTTAGAATGTTTCCTAAAATCATTCAGCGTATCACTTACCGCAAAATGCACAATATTGTCGCTGTGCGTGAATGTCTTTTTGAATTGATATCAATTTTGACATCACTAATGCAAATGTCTACACAAATTAGAGACGGCTGACCTAGCAAATACCATTAAATCGCGGATAATAGCGCAGCATCACAGTCCTCGTGTTAGTACCATGTAAGTTACCTTTTGCGAGTAAGCAATTACAAGATCTGATTCCACAATTTCCACAGGGGCATTCGGAGGCCTTACGTATGAAGAATGTTCTCGGTAAGCCGCTACACGAAAAACAATCCCACGAGTGTTACATCTAATGACACATCAACATAGAAGTAATGTGCGCCCTCGAAGAATTACGATGTGCTTTATGGCAAACACTAATAATTAAAAGACAGATTTGTACCATTTACAGAAGAATATATTCAAGAGACAAAGTCCTTGTAATTGCACATTAGCTTTTAAACAAACAATCATCGATATTATTGAAAGAAAACAGATGCGAAGTTGTTTTTTAAACTAAGACATTGTTGGTCTAAATGGAACCAGTATATAACATATGTATTGTATTAACTTATCATGATCAGGTTTGATCCGAAGGACAAATTACAAGAAAATATCTGTTCACATTTTTCCATGTAGTGAAATGTGCTATTACTAGTATATCCTAGTATTCACACGTGCATCTTAAATATACTAAAAAGTATTACGCGACAATATATCAACATACTCATTGAAGATATACATATTTACACTTTCAATAACTTTTAATTAATCGACATGTTTAAAAATTATATTTTTAGATTAGATTTTCTGTGCGTAAATGCTCCTTAAAACATATTACGCAATATCCATGTTTGTCGAATGATTCTCGCTATTTTAAAATGTATAAATAACCCTTTTGAATATTTCAGGGATCCGGAGATGTTCATATGGCAACAGCTGCACTGCATCGTGCATCAGACGTATTCCTGAATTGTCAAATGTTATTACCCTCTATGTCATTGCACTCATTCGAGTGAATTTGTGCGGTGACACACTTTTTGCTCAAAACCTGGCTGCTACATTTGTTTTTCATAAGTGTTTTCTTGTCTTAAGTTCGATCAAGACGGTAAGTATATACGCACAAATACTATAAAACGTTTAACTTTCGCAGCCAGGAAGTTTCACGATTAGAGCATTTTATGGTATTCGTGAAGACATTATTTCACAAAAGCCACAGACCATCCGGTTTTCAGACCCCGGAGAAATTTTTACCGCTACAAAATTTCGCAATTTTTTACATGAATAGAGGTTTGTCTCGTTTGGATTTATTCCACCACGTTTATTAATTATTGATTGAGGTTTGAAAAGACATGACGTATCTAGTAATTGTTACATGTAGCTTCTGTAAAACGTCTCAAGTGGTTATCCATGTTTTGAAATTATTTATTTATGTCGACACTGCGTATGTCTGCTTGGAGATATATTTATTTGATTGACACAGAATGACACTGAATAATTAAAAAGAGGTTTGAATCGTCACAAACGAGCATTTCACTTATTGTAAATATAAATACGTGAGAGGCCATCCATGGCAACCAGCTTACTTTCACAGTTGTGTTTTATTACATTGAAAATTTTAAATCATATTGCTTTTTTGTTTTTGTAAGTAAACATGATTTATTGTTCTCTTTGCTGCGAGTTTAATAGTATCGGTCACGCACGTTTTCTTAGTACGTTCTAAGAAAAGCTAAGTACGGATTAAATGTGGCCCGTTTTAAAGACACGGGCTAGATCCTTACCATGGGCTAACGAAGTGTGCATGAATGTTTAGATCTGGCCAAGCGCACAAAACGCCATTGTATTCGATGTCCGTGGAGAAGATTTACTATTATATTCATAACTATTCATTTCGTTATGCCATTTCCAACATGATAACCAACGCGAGCGCACCGAGAGATATTGTTCTCTTGCAAAAAATAACTGACGATGAGGATCTGTGCTAGTACTGTTATTCTGCAATATGTACTTTCTGAATTTGCTTTGGCGTTGTTTTATAATCGTAGAACTAACAAGCAATTTTGGGCATTTCTTAGCCCGTGCGATATGTTAACATATGAGATTAGCTTAAATCTTAGCCCGTACTTGGTACACATACTTAATTTCAGGAGATAAATAAATTATAACTACTTCATTATGTTTGCAGTTCTGATGTTATTTTCGCACGTGAATGTTTTAGAATTATGTATGAACACGGTAACACAATATGTGTTGCTACACTCATGTTATACTCTCCACACAATCAGACTTTTAAGACGTTGTTAACAGAACTAGTGTTACATCTTACATTATATATGTGATCACTTTACGTGAGCTTCAGACATATGCTATTCTAGGTTGCTCATTACACAATTATGGAATAATATCCAACAGTTCCTATTTTGGATCTTTTTAATTTTATCACATAGGTTTAGTGTATTATCTGCATATCTCGACATAGAGTTACATGCGCGTGAAAGTAAATGTTATCAGGAAATAATAAACATATTCGTTCATTTCTGTACTCAATTAAATTACATACACAACTTATATATATATATATATATATATATATATCTACTAGGTTAACCTTCATTGTTTGTTTTGCGTGATTCGTGGCGTAGTTGATTCCACTAATTTGTTCATCGCATGTGAACTTGAAAGATTTATAATTAATCTTCTGAGACATAATTTTTAATATCTCTTGCGACAAAACTTATTATGGAGTGCAATTTACTTTCTAATCACTGCAGACAAGCGTTGCGTTTTTAGAAGCGTAATGACGTTCTTCAAGTACCTCAACTAAAACTGTTCGAATAGTAACAACGCAATTGCCTGTCAGAGTGATTTTCGTGCCTGTTGGTTTGGATGGGCTTGTTGCACAGAAGCAATTTAGAAAGCGATCTGCAATAAACCATTTACCAAGCGCTGGCAGATTCGTGGTACAGTGCAAATATTTGATTTACAAGATATTTAACTCGATACATACGTGTGCATATCACTAAATGCTCACTCAAATAGTATATGTAGTGTTATGGATGACAAATTATCACCATGATATATGTGGAAACTATTGCAATGAATACTGATGTAGATGTATATCCAAACTTAAATTATCACTAAATAAATTCTACGTTGGACTAGATATTTAAATCATAATCTTAATGGCACAGCACTATTTTTCCCAGGGTGGCTAGGCCAGAATTATCTTGAGTTCGAATCTTATATACGTCCTTTCACAGAGATTGTTTTTCCTTCACTAATTTTGAAAAAAAATGATTTTTTAAATGGAATGTGACTTGAGATACCTTTAATTCATCAAAACCGATCATCATTAAATGTATACACACATTTTTAAGCTTGATAATGCCACCAAAAGTACTTTAGCATTTTTAAAATCTTACGCGATGTTTGATTGTGAAGCCACAACGACGCTGTAAGCCTCGTTCGTTTTTACGTATAACACGGGATCTCACAGAGAATACGGTCTCTTGAAGATTAGATGTATTCGTGAGAGCATGTTGAAGATAAAAATCATTAAAATTCTATACACATTGTTCCAGATTTCTAATAGGATTCAAATTAAGAACTTTTTAAGCGCAGAATTGCAAGTGTAATATTCGCCACAGAAACCATAATAAAGTATGGGATTACGTGACAGGGCTGTGCGGTTACTACTCTACCAAATGTATGTTCTATCCTAGCCCGATCGAACACAATCACATGTGTACTTTTACATAGGTTTCTCGAAAGTTACATTCGTTAGTGAATGAA